TCCCTGGAAAGATGAGAAGAATGAGGGACGATAGAGCATTCAGCCCTCCCTCTGCACACTCACAGCAAACCTCTGTCATCACATCTTTGTGACCTAAAAAGTGCACTTAGCAACAGCAGCTGAAAACATTTACAAGGGACCAGCATGGTGCACCAGGTACCATGTCAGTCAAAGATGAATCAGGCCAGATCCTTGGAACCTAACTCCAAGGATCTCAAAGTCTAGTTGGAGAGATGAGTTCACAGCAGATAAATTGAAATAAAGCAGTGCGAGTGATTAAAGGGTAAAAAACAGATTTTCCAAGGAATAGGAGAATGGAGGAGAAAAGGATCTGCAGTTGTGGCTGGGGAACAGGGAGGGACATTCCAGGCAGAAAGCCACAACTCAGAGGAGCCAGTCCAGGAGACATGGCTCCTGTAGCTTCCTCATCCAGGGCATAGCGGGCCTGGATGGAGGAAGGCATGGGGCCAGGCCAAGCTCCCCTACCAAGAGGGCCCTGAGGGTCATGTATAGTCATCTGTAAGAGAGTTGGAGAGATAGGAAATTGTATCTGCAAAAAGCAGACTGTCCCAAACCATGAGAGTTCAACAACATCATGCGGTATGGCATGGGAAAAAAAATCACATGAGAAAATATTTTGGAAGAGTTCAAATTTAGTTATGACTGTGCAAAGAATATTTCAGTGCTCACAACAAAGCTGATTCATGGGGAGGTGCACTCAGATTTGGTTTGTTTGATGGAGTCTGATTCAAAAAGATGACCCTATGACAAGAAGACAGAACATAACTTTGAGTGTAATTCAAGGCTACAGGGGCATTTGTAGCACCTGGTTCGCCCAGGTGAGCATGTACTTGTTGTGCACGTTCACAAGTATAGCAACAGATCCTCTGTTCTCCCCAGGGGCTGAACTGCGAAGTTCATTTCACTAGTTCCTGCCCAGCAATTCTGTTTCCGCTCCTTGCTCTGGTGTTTGGCAGAACCTCCTGGACCTAATGCAAACTTGACCCAGGTCAATGACTGGAGAGCTGGAGGTCCACAAAACAGGGTGCTGTTGAGTCCTGCAGGGTAGCCTGCACAGCACAAGGCAGAGGCACATTTCATTCGCTGACTCCCGGATTTAGATAACACATCACTTAATGACCATTTGCAACTGTGACTGCAAACAGAACCCCTAGTGTTTTCAACAAAATATTTGCTGGACACAGGCCCTCCAAAAGACATCAAAACCACCCTCCAACTTGGAGCTCTGACAGTAATTAGAGGGACAAACTGGGAAATGGCAAAGTCATGAAGTCTCTTCTCCTCTCTCCCTAATGTCAATGCTAACTGATATTCACCTTGAAACTCAATCTTAACCTACATGGTATATGCTGTAGTGCCACAGGATGCCTCCCCCAGCAGCCTGTCAACCATCTCTAAGGATAATCTGTCCACCTGCTTCCATCTTTTACCTCAGGTCAATTGACTGAATTCAGGGCTTGGACTCAAAAAGCAAATAAAGTCCACTTGGATTTAAATTCATGGATTTGAAATCTGTGATAAGTCTGTGATTATTGACTGTCAATAGCATAAATCCTGCTAAGCCAGCCAATAGAATGAATAATATCATGACAGAGGTGTAGGGGTTTGCTTATTTAACAGACATCTCTTGCTCTGTGCACTCTGTTACATGAGAAGAACAGTTAGAGAGCCAAGCAGACACAGATCCCATCACCATGAAGCACCCAGACCAGCAGGAGAGACAGACATTAAACAACAAATTGTCAAGTCAAATACTTATTTATAACTGGGATAAGTTTCATAAATGAGGTGGGTATAACCTATTATAAAAGCATGTAACAGGAGGGCTTGAAATAGCCTGAGGAAGCTGCCTGTTGAAGATATATGTGAACTGGGCTCTGAAGTATATGTAGGAGTTAACCAGGTAACAGGGAAAGATGGAAGTGAAGAATTCCAGGCAGAGAAACACTATGTGCAAAGGTCCTGAGGCAGGAAGTAGCAAGGCATGTTGAAGAAATTGGGAAAAGGCCAACGTGACTGGAAAGCCATGTGTGAAAGGAAAGATAGTGCAAGACATGGATGGAAAGGAGATTGATTTTCATTCTTTAAGACTGGGAAGTCATTGAGGGAATCTAAGCAGATATGATTATTAAAAGTCGTGTCTCACCAGATGTGATAGCTCATCCCTGTAATCCCAGCATTTTGGGAGGCGAGAGGATTGCCTGAGCCCAGGGGCTTGAGATCAGCCTGGGCAACTTGGCAAGATGTCATCTCTACAATACATCAAAAAATTAACCAAGTGTGGTGGCATGTGCATGCCACTGCACTCCAACCAGGGTAAAAAAGTAAGACTCTGGCAAAAAAAAAACTTTTTTTAAACCGTGTTTTGGTACTGTGCAGGAGTAAATATAGGTTCGTGGAGTAGCCCAAAAGGACAGCACAGCAACTTGGGCCACACATTGACTGTCGAGATGGAGACCAGTGTGCAAGGAAAAGGCCTTTGAAGATGAAACTCATGGGACCTGGAAAAGCATGGCATGGGGAAAGGCACGAGAGAGAGAAGTCATCAGTGACCATCAGGTTTCTGGGATTCCCCAGGGAGAGAACCAGCTTGTGGGAAGCTCATGGGCTCTACTTGAAATGTGTGGGTTGAAGGGCATGGAGACAGGGGCATGGAGCTGGCCAGTGGGCAGTTGGAGACAGGGGCTGGAGCCAGACAGGCAGCCTGGCCCAGATGTGGCATCAGTGTGTGGATGCTCGCGGAGACCACAATGTGGAAAAAAATCACCTGTGTTGAGACTGTAGAGTGAGAAAAGAAGAGACCTCAGGGCTGAGACCAGAGGAAATCCAACAGTCACGGAGAGGAGAGGAAGATGAGAGACTGAACAGCCAGACAAGGAGGGAGAAACAAAGAGTCAAGATGAGAGAGCTTCTCAAGAAGACAGTGGCCAAGAGTCTTGATTGCAGCCTCGAACTTAAGTCACATACAGAGCAAAAGTGACCCATCAACCATCTGGGAGGAGTAGGGGAATCAGGAGCCCTAAAGGCAGAGCAAAATAACTTAAGGATGTAGGGAGGAGATAGGATATATTTAAAAGAACAAAACTGTACTGGAAAGCCACAAACATAAACAAGAATTTACCATGCCAAGATTAAGCATTTATTTTTAGTTCGTGAGACCTGATTCCAAGTCCTCGTTTATAACATGGCTTGGCCATATACAATGTGTCCTCAGTAATGTTACCCTCTTACCTGAAAAGTGTTTTATGAGCTAGACATTTTACCAATTCAGGTGATTTCCTTCAAACAGTTCAAAGTAGTGAGCAAGACAGTTTTTGCACTGGCCTCTAGAAAATTCACTTCAACAGCAATGACAGTGAATTCATGAGTTCGTGGTTAGGAGGAGAGCCCAAACACAGTAATAGGTCTCCTCAATGTTTCACAAAATAGATGCCATTGTGCCATTCTACACCTGAGTCTCATCCAGGTGCAGTGCCAGATAGAGTTTATCCTTATCTCTAAGCCAGATCTCAGTGAGGCTGCAGGCAGGTGAGGTTTATTATTTAGTGACGCTAATAGGTCAATCTGAATTTTCCAAATGACTGTAAAGCCCAAGACTAGAAGTCTTTCTCGACAAAATTTCTATTATGTGACTCCTTTCTTCTGTGCCTCAATTTTCCCTTCAGGAAAAAAATCAGAATAAAGATAACCCAATTCAGAGCACTGCCACAAACATTTGTTGAACTTCTATGAGCTCAGTATACAAAGGCATGTAAGACTCTCTTCCTGGGTTCAATAAACTTTCTTTCTAGTTGAGGAGAGAAAGAAGCAATCCTCAATTCCTGAAACATATGGGTTATGATATATGAGCTGTGACAAAACAGCATGAGCTAAGGGAAAGGTAAACCCAGCATGCTTTGGGGACACGAAGGAGGCCTATCGAAGCCAGCCTGGAGAGTCAGGGGTAGGGCCTTGCCGTATGGTGATAGAAAAAAAGCTCTTCTATGATTCTCTAAAGAAACTGGCTCCACAAATTTGAGTTGTTATGATTATTAATATTATTAATAAATTACCTTGGACTAGATTAATATCCAGGAGCTACAAGCTGGGGAAGGTCTTAGGGAAACCCCAATGGTCTGCATTTAAAATTTGCATAGTAGATTTATTTTAATTAGTTCACACTTCATTCTAAGCATTCTTAAAATCCTCCTGGGCAGCTTTTTGGTTCGTTTAGCTGTCAAAATAGATATTCTAGCCTCCTGCCAACAATAAATTGAATTGAGCTACCACTTGCTGAGTGGACTTGAGTTTGGCTGCTCCAGTTCTCTTTGCTGCAAAATCCAAGTTAGCAGTTCAATGAAAAAAGGGCCTTTGGTCAGATTTTACTAGCAAAAAGTAATTCACATTAGAAGTCCCAAAAGCTTAAAATAGGTTCTTAAAGATTTCTTAAAGCATGCACAAATTAACAAATATTAGAAGGGATGTAAACTGACTTTATGTTGGTTTTCACCAAAAATGCCTATGTTTGAAATTGTATTGAGTTCAAGTATGATTTTTTTTTTAATGTTTGAAGGTCAAATGCATCATTGTATTACTGACATTAAAAATATCAGCCTGGTTCGGTGGCTGAGTCTGTAATCCTGTGCTTTGGGAGGCTGAGGTGAGTGGATTGCCTGAGCTCGTGGGTTCGAGTCCCACCTGGGCCACTTGGCGAGATCTCATCTCTACAATAAATCAAAAAATTAGCCAGACGTGGTAACACATGCCTGTAGTTCCAGCTACTTGGAAGGCTGAGGCAGAAAGATCACCGGAGCCCAGCCCATCGAGGCTGCAGTGGCTGGGAGCATGCCACTGCACTCCAGTCTGGGCGACAGAGTGAGACTCCAACTCAAAAAATAAAAATAAAAATAAATTTAAAAATTTAAAAATCGTGTCCATTGAACACGTGCTTGACCCTTTGGTCAGTTGGGTTCCACTGAAATTATTTTTCTTCTTTTTAGATGAGCAGTGATGACACCAAATATAAGCAGGAAAAGAAGTTTTAAAACTAAAACTACAGATCCTAAACCCCAGCAAGGCAGGCAACGGCAACCCTCACTGCTGTAACAGGTATGGAAGCAACCCAAGACGCAGCATCTAGAAACATCTTTTGTTGTTGGTCACTATGCTGAAGGGTACCACTGGGTGAGAGCAGGGGTTGGGGGAAGGGATGATGTCACCTTTATAGCTGTCCCATCTGACTCTAGGTATATCATATCAGAATTGAAGAAGTTTTCTGAATGGAGCTGGCAAGGGAGTGGGGAGTTTCTCTTCTTCCTGAGACAGAAGTAATGTGGTTACTTTCCAAGTGCTCTGAAGATGAGTGAACATCCTTTACCACTGTTTGCAATTATAATGCAAACCCCAGATCAGTTAGGGTTATTTGACCATAACAACAGAAACTGGGTAAAACAAGCAGAAATGGGTAAGTATTAAAAGGACATTGGAGGTCATAGAGATTCAAGGTGAAGGCTGAAGCTCCAAGCTAGCTGAGAACTCTACTGCTGGAAAGAATGCACAAGCTTGCTTCCATCCTTGGGTGACTATAGGAGAATCAGCACAATTGATGTGCCTGTCCTGGGTCTCATATCTGCTCTTGGCCCAGAAAGCCTTAGTAGGCATCTTTACTTTCAGGCCTACCAAGACTGAACACTACGCGGAGAGAAAATTCTCCAAAAAAATATCAAGTGCTTTTACTCAGAGAAGGCAGATGGAAGCTGAGTGTTCAAACAAACAAGCAAACAAATACCTGCTAATAGTTGGAGTGTTTAATGGGTGGAGGTTGTTTAGTTGACTCTTAGCTTCTAAATTTAGATCTCCAACTATTCTATTTTCATATTTAATATGGAACCATAGAAACCCAGTATTACTGAGCTCAGACATTGCCAAGATCAAAATCCCAACATTCAAAAGACTTGGAGAATCCTGAATGTATTGGTAGAATCTCAAAAGGCAGAAAAACTGACTTACAATGTGCAAAGTCACTGTGGTCTCCCCAGCCCCAATAACACAAGCTCCAGTGTATGGTGGTGCTGTCATGGGCTCATGCTCAACATTGCTGGCCAGGACCTGAGATTCATACCTGTCTACCCCGCCATCCTCAGCAACTTGGCCTTTTGTAACCATTCTTTATCCCTTGGGGTTGCAAAGTGAATACCTTAGTGTTATGGTTGAATTGTGTTCCCTCTCAAATTATATGTTTAAGTCCTAACCCCCAGTACCTTGGAATGTGACCATTTTTGAAACAGGGCTGTTACAGATGTCATTGGTTAAGATAAAGTCATTAATGTGGGCTCTAACCCAGTATGATGTCACAAAAAGGGAAAATTTAGATACAGAGATAAACATAGAGGGAAGATGATGGGAAGACATGTAGGGAGAAGACCATCGCCTTCAAACCAAGAAAAGTGGCTAGGACACATTCTTCTTTTCAGTCCTTAGAAGGAACAATCCCTGCTGACACCTTGATTTTGGACTTCCAGCCTCCAGAATTCTCTTTTTCCTGAGGCAGAAGTAATGTGGTTACTTTCCAAGTTATCTGAAAACTGTAAGACAACACATTTCCACCGTTTAAGCCATCTGTGCATGGCACTTTGTTATGGCAGCCCTGGCAAAGAAATACTCCCAGTTGCAGGCTTCTTGTGTGTATTCAAAGCAAAAAGAAAGGGCACCCACAGAGTAGAGACAGCAGGAACTATTTCTGGCAAGAAAATCCTAGCAAGAACTTTTTAGACGTAGACATCTGCTGCTTCCATCCCTGTAACCAGAACCATATCTCTGGCCTTGCAGGTTGCATAGGAGTCGGAGGACAGGAGTGTTTGGTTTCCATAGCTTTTCTAGTGGCAGCAGGTGAAGGAGAAGAAAGAGCCTTGGGGAAGGGAGTGAACTTGGCCAGCCCTTGGGTCTGCTCCCACCACACCACTTGGGTTGATGTTCTCCTCTTGCATGCAGCCTTCTAAAAAACATGCGATTCCAGGAGAGCTAGCTGCCTGTTCAAAGCAGGGCTGAGAGCGCATGCAGAGAAGCCTTCTTAGAGCAGCTCAGTGGCTCTTTGTCGGCTTATTCATTCCAGTAGAACTCAGGGTCCTGTGCTTTCTCCACCAGCCTAGCTCAGTTATTTCATTTATAAAAGCAAGTCAACCTGCCGACAAATCAGCTTTGGAAACTCATCCGAGTGCTGTGGTCAAGAGACAGGAAGCAACAGAACCCCGCGAAGGTTGACTTCCAAGATGGAAGGCGCACAACACTGACAGCTCAGCAACTTCGGTCCTATGTGGGGATATGACCCCTAACCTCCCAGGGCCTTGTGAGGGAACCACTTGATCCCCACTCTACAGAAACGAAGAATATGATCAGAGTCACAGGAGCACACACAGACACACGTGAGGAAACACCACAGCCAGTCTGTAGCCACTCAACAAAAGGACGTGGAGCCTGGCAGGATCCAGGGCTCCTGACAAGGAGCCCTGTAACCTAATAGGAGCACCTTCATCATCCATCTTCTAGAGCCTGGGGGCACTTTTATGACCACGGCCAGCCTAGCAAAGAGGGAAGAGCATATCCTGCTCAGTTCCTGCTGCTATGAATGGGCCATTGTCTGACAAGGTTTCTTCTACCAGTTGAAGACTTCACAGCACCCTGCCAGATGTTCACTGACCCAGATGCCTACACCTGAGTCCACTCCAGAGTTAATATTTGCTATTTTGTCTAACTTTTTATGTACTCCTTTTTTTGTTCCCTGGCGCAGGCCAGGCACTGTTCTAGGAGCAAGAGGTATGTGCCCCAATGGAAGCAATAAGGATCCCAGAAGGAGGAACATCCTCAGACAGGATCCAGAAGAGAGTAGAATGTACTACCCATCCATTAAGATGGGTTCTATCAAAAACAAAAACAAAACAAAAAATAATGAGTGTTGAAAAGGATGTGAAGAAATTGGAACACTTGCACACTCCTGATGAGAAGGTAAATTGATGTAGCCACTATGGAAAACAGTATAGAGTTTCATCAAAAAATTAAAAATAAAACCACCAGGCTGGGCATTATGCCTCATGCCTATAATCCTAGTGTTTTGGAAGTCTGAGGCAGAAGGATCACTTGAGGCCAGAAGTTTGAGACAAGTCTGGTCAATATTTTGTGAGACTCCATCTCTACCAAAAAAAAAAAGTGTTTTAAATTAGTTGGATGTAGTGTCATACACCTGAAGCCCCAGCTATTTGGGAAGATGAGGTGGGAGAATCACTTTAGCCCAGGAATTCAAAGCTTCAGTGAACTATGATTGTGCCACTGCACTCCAGCCTGGGTAACAAAGCAAGATTCTGTCGCCAAAAAAAAAAAAAAAAAAAAAAAATAGAGCTATTATGTAATACAGTTATTTCACTTCTGGTTATATAACCCCCAAAATTGAAAGCAGTGTCTCAAAGAGATACTTGTATACCCATATTCACAGCAGAATGATTCACAATAACTGAAAGTTGGGAGCAACCCAAGTGTCCTTCAGTGAATGGATAAATGAATAAGAAATTGTAAGGTAGATGATATGTAGATAGATAGACAGACAGACAGTGCAATATTATTTAATCTTGATAATGAAGGAAATTCTGACACATAATACAACATGGATTAGCCTTGAGGACATTATGCTAAGTGAAATAAGCCAGTTACAGAAAGATAAATACTGTATGACTCCACTTTAATGAGGTTCCTGGAGTCATCTCAAATTAATAGAAACAAAAAGTGGAATGGTGGTTGCCAAGGGTAGGGGGAAATGGGGAGTTGTTCTTTAATGGGTTTAGAGTTTCAGTTTTGCAAGGTAAAAAAACTTTTGAAGGGTTGCACAGCAATGTGAATGCTCCTAACAAGACTAAATTGTATCCTTAAAATGGTTAAGATGGAAAATTTTATATTACGTATATTTAACCACAATTTTTAAAAAAGAAGAAGAGAATGTAAGCAAGGGACTATAACAAAGGTATAGGCAGAATTAAGGAGACCCAGGAATGTAGAGTTCGGAAAAAGGGAGCACATGGTTGCAGCCCAGTCAGAGCATGGGGGGAGGGGCCTCCGTTATAGAGGACTGAGCATCCCCAGGTCCGCACACCACAATGAGGGAAGAGGGGAGGAAAGATGCCAGGGATGCTGACTCTCTCTCCCTCCAGGTTCTGCCAGCAATATCCATTGGCTATACTCAAGAGCAAGTCAGAGAGTTAAGGGGCACAGATGGTGCAGGGTTTAGGGACCAATACCTCTTGGGGTGGCTCTAGGACAAGAACAATCAGCAAATAGGCAGCCCAGCGGTCCTAAGCTCCTGGAACTTACAGTCTAATGATGGGATAGGTAACTTAATTTTAGATCATGCTCAGTACCATGAAGAAAATAAACTGTGAACTGTTAGAGCAATGACTAAGGAGAGAACACCTCTGGAATATCAGGAAAGGACTACAAAAAGGACACATCTGAAATTCAAGCACTGGTTTGAACTTAAGCCTGGTTGTCCAGAAGAACAGACGCAAGAGGATGTGTGTATCTATAGAAGGAGAGATGTATTTTAAGGAACTGGCTCACATGATTGTGGAAGTTGGCAAGTCTGAAATGTGCAGGACTGGCAGGCAGGCAGGTTGGGAACCAGGAAGAGTTGATGATGCAGCTCCAGTTCAAAGATTATCTGGGGACAGAATTCCATCTCCCTCAGGGGACCTTAGTCTTTTTTTATTTTTTTAAGCCATTTCATTGAGAAATAATTGACATACAAAAAACTGTATGAGGGGGACCCCCAAAAGAAACACAGGCTGTTCAATTAGTTTTTGCAGAGTGGGCCCCTTGCAGTACAGGCTTCCCTCGTAGGTAAGTGTTATAGGAACCCATCAGCATCAGTGTAGCATTGTCATGAGAGGCTGTTGTGAGAGGCTGCATTTGATTTCAGTGAATTTTGTTTTTCCTTTGGAGATTCTTCACGTTTGCCCATTACATAATAGGTGGTTTATGAGCCCACCTGCTCACACCACACTGAGTGTTCAGCAGTTTTTGATCAAAAACAGAATGATCCTCATGCCCTACCTTCTCTATTCACCCAATCTTACCCTGTGACATTTTTTGTTTGTTTCTTTGAATGAAAAAAGTCCTAAAGTGAAATATTTCACCACTGTGGAAGAGGTGAAACAAAAAAATGACAGAAGCACTAAAAGGCATCAAAATTGATGAGTTCAAAACTGTTCTGAGCAGTGGAAAAAATATCTCGATAGGTGTATTGCATCAAACAGAGAGTACTTCGAAGGCAGTAAAGTTTAAACATGTGATAATAAATACACAATTTTTTATAAATAAATCCTGAGGTTTTGGGGGTTCCCCCTAATACATATATAATGGGTGCAGCTCAATGAGTTTGGGGATTCGTCTACACCTATGAAACCATGACCACAATACACTGCCTCCAAAAGTTTCTTCCCACCCCATTTATTTACTATTTCTGTGTGTGCATGTGATAAGAACACAACATAAGATCTACCCTCCTAGCAAATTCCAAATGTACAATACAGTATTGCTAACTGTGAGCATCATGCTGTACATTATATCTCAAAAATGTATTCATCTTATATAACTGAAACTTAATACCCTTGGACAAATAACTCCCCATTTTCCCCTTTCCTCAACCTCTTGTAACCACTCCAACCTCCAGTAACCACTATTCTACACTCCATTTCTGTGAATTTAACTATTTTAGATTCCTCATGTAACTGACATCATGCAGTATTTGTCTTTCTGTGCCTGGCTTATTTCACTTAGCATAATGTCCTCCAGGATCACCCATGTTGTCACAAATGTCAGAATTTCCTTCTTTGATAAGACTGATTAATATACCAGCATATGCACATGCCATATTTTCTTTATTCATTCATTGATGGACATTTCGTTTGCTTCTATGACTTGGCTATTGTGAGTAATGCTACCACGAACATGCTAGTGCAGGTACCTCTTTGCGATACCAATTTCATTTCCTTTGGATGTATATGCAGACGTTGAATTGCTGGATGTTATGTAGTTCTATTTTAATTTTTCAACAAACCTCCATTCTGTTTTCCATAGTGACTGTACCAACTTATTTTTCCACCAACAGTGTGACAGCAGTTCCCTCTTTTTGGCATCAGGGACTAGTTTTGTGAAAGACAGTTTTTTCATGAATGGGGAGAGAGAAGGGATGTTGTTCAGTTAAACTCTTAAGGAGCACACAACCTAGGTCCCTTGTATGCGCAGGTCACAATGGGGTTCACACGCCTATGAGAACCTAATGCCTCTGCTGATCTGACAGAAGACTGAACTCTGCTCACCTGTCATTCCCCTCCTGCTATGTGGCCTGGTTTCTAACAGGCCACAGATCAATACTGGTCTGCAGCCCAGGGGTTGGGGACCCCTGGTGTACCAGGTATTTTTTTCCTCCACATCCTCACCAACACTTGTTATCTTTTGTTTCTTTGATAACAGTCATCCTAACAGGCGTGAGGTGATAATCTCATTGTGGTTTTAATTCGCATTTCCCTGATGATTAGTGATGTTGCACACCTTTTTATATATGTGTTGACCATTTATATGTCTTCGTTGAAGTAATATCTACACAGTTCCTTGCCCATGTTTAAATTGTATTCCTTGGGGTTTTTTGTTGTTGTTGTTGAGTTAGGAATTTCTTAAGTATTTTGGATATTAGCCTTTTATCTGATACAGTTTGCAAATATTTTCTCCCATTCTTGATGTCTTTTCATTTCTGTGATTGTTTTGCTGTGCAGAAGCTTTTAATCTTATATAACCCCACTCGTCTATTTTTTTATTTTGTTGCCTATGACTTCAGTCTTCTTTCTCTTAAGACCTTGAAGTGATTTAATGAGGTCCACCTGCATTATGGAGGGCTGTCTGCTTTACTCACAGTTTACTGATTCTAATGTTAATCAGAGCAACATCTAGACTGGGGTTTTACCAAAAATTGGGAATGGTAGGCTAGCCAAGTTGACACATAAAATTAACCATAATGGGTGCCATTACCCACCTGAACCAGTATGACGTTCTTGCATAGAGCTATTAAGTTGGAGATCCTGTTCATACCCTGAATTTCTTTCTTTTACAGAGAAAAAAATTCCTACTTTTCTATTTGCATCTGGTTGGCAAGAACCTCTAATTTTGTGGGAAGAAGTCTACATCTAACTCTTGCCAGTATCATCACCAGCAGCACCCAACAGCTGACAGGAGCCATCTTCTTAGAACTGACGGATGATGCAGGGAAACAAGAAGTGCACAGACGGGTTCAGTGACTCCTCAAGCATTGGCAGCGTGTTGGACGATGCAGATAGGGAGGTGAGCAGCCTAACAGACAGGGCGTTCCGGAGCTTGTGCATCTCAGAGGACACATCCTTCCATGACTCCGACCTGGCCTTGTCCCCGGATATTACTCGCCAGGTGTTTGGGACTTTGCACCAGGGAACAGTGAGCCACACGCATAGGAAAAGTGGCATTTGGAGTCAGTTGCCATCGCAGGGCACAGAGCACTCAGGTTGGGCAGCCACCTTCCAACAACTACCCAAGTACGTTCAAGGAGAGGAAAAATATCCCAAAAGCAGTCCCCCACTGACGCCAGCCCATGGGAGACTGGAGGTGCCGGTTTCTGGCCTGAGGAGCAGTCACAAGCCTATCTCCAAAGTATCAACACTAATTAAATCTTTTGACAGAACTGAGAACCAGCGTTGTGAGATACGGCCTACTACCAGCAAGCCTCCAGCTCTGAAGAATCCCCCCAAATTTGCTCCTCTTCCAGAAAGCAGTGTCAACTTTTGCTTTGATTCTGCCTTTCTGACAGTCAGAAGGGTGCCCGCTGAAGTTTCCAACATCCATCAGAACAGCCATCAGCCCAGCAGGAAGCACGGAGAACAAGAGTCCCCCCAAAACCCTGAAATGACCTGTCACAGCTCCAGCAGCTTCCTCCCAACACCTGATGAAATGGCCAACTCACTGGAGTCAAAGTTTCCCTCTCCACCCCAAAAACCAGTCACAGGTGAGCCCGGAAGAGGCAAGGAGTGGATTCACAAAGGGACTTTTCTGCACAGTGAAAATAGTGCCTTTGAGTCATGGAACGCCCACCAACCAAAGGTGCTTGAGAGAAAGGATGCTGCTGAAACTGTCCCAGAAAGCAAAGCTCCCAGACACTATGAGGACATGCCCTTGTTAAGAGAACCTCACCCTCCTGAGTGCAAAGCCTCCCCCTGCCAAGTCCAGGCCAGCTGCAGTCAGGAAGACACCAGACTGCCTGCAGGGGCTCTGTCCACACCTGGACCCAGGGGGTGCAGAGATCCAGAAGCCCAGGTATTTACAATGGAGAGAAAAGTTAGCTCACAGCCTGACCCTCAGGTGAAGACGACCCAGCCCCCATGGAGGAAACCCAAGACTGGCAAAAAGGGAAAAGAGAGTCTACCAGATGCTTCGGAAGAACAGAAACAGGCCAGCAAGAGAGTGCCACCTGTGTACACAAAGCACAACCCTCAGGGGCAATTTCCAGAAAATTATCCTCTTGACATGCCTCTGGACCCCAATGAGCATTACAACCCTCCTTTTAACATCAGTAAGCTCCTGACCCCCGTCATACCCACCAAGCATGCCCTGGACTTGTCAGAGAGTCAACCAGTGGAGAGAACCCCATCACCCCCAGCACAGCTAAATGGATACCAAGAGAAGGAGCCCAGTGAATGTCAGTCGCGAGACAGCTACAAGTCCAAGGCCCCTAGCCTGCTGTTCAACCTCAAAGATGTGCGGAAGCGTGTGAAAAGCACGTACTGTCCCTCGCCTCTCTTGAAAGGCAGTGATGACAAAACCAGAGGGAAGATTGATGGAAAGCAAGAACACATGAGCAATGGTGTCATCCTTCCCAATGGGCTTGAGGAAAGCCCTCCAAATGAGCCTTGTAAGGAGAAACCTGCAGGTGGCCCTAGTGCATCACGCCTCAATGCCCAGAAGGATCCTGCAGCTGACCCCAGTGAGTGCTCCACAGACAGCTATCTCACCCCTAGGGCACTTCCCACGATCGAAGAGGCCCCCTTTTATATCAATAGCAAAGCTGCCGAAAGGAGCATTCATGAGAAGAATGACGCCGAAAGAGAATCAGAGATGGGTCCCACCAGGTCTGGCTGGTGTCCAGACTCCAGGGAACGCCTCCCCAGGAAGCACCTCTCCCTGAAGCTTTGCAATAAAGAGTCCGAGCCTGGAGAACCTGCAGAGAAGACAGAAACCCACCAGCTAGAGAATGGGCTCTCCAGATCCATCTCCCAGGAGACAGAACCAGAGAGAGACGGAGGACTCCAGATCCCACATTTGAACCAGAAGTTCTCCCCAGGGCCCCTCTCTCCTGAGGAGGAAGATGTGTTTTACAGTGACACCCAGTCCGACTTTATGCCAGGTCTCAAAAGCAAGGCCAAATTCAGCACCAGCTCTTCAGATCAATCCTTCGCCTCATTTGATGATCAGCAGAAGACATGGTTTACTGAGAGCCAGAGGGAAGACAAAAGGAATGATGGGAATGCAGACGGCAGTCAGAAGGATGAGAAGGAGAACGTGATGGGAAAAGATGAGCAGTTCTATGCCTTAAGTAATGGACATGAGTTTGGGGAAGGGTACGGCAAGAGGGGCACGTTGCAAAGAGAAGGGGAAAGTTTGTCTGGAGGAAGACCCAGGAAGGCATCAACAGAGGATGCTAATTTCAGAGGCTCTTGGATTGGGGGAAATAAGGGCACAACCTTTACACAGGCCAAAGATCTTACCCCCTCGCCATCTTCTACTACAAACAAGCACATACTGTTCACGATTAAAGACAACACCCTCAGAACCACCCCTGTAATAAAACCTATCATGTTGCCTCTCCTGAGGACCATGTCTTCTGAGGACTCACTCAGCAGTGGCCACAAAGAGGAGGAATCTCCATGGCCAGGATGGGGTGAGGATGCGGGTTTTTCTGAAAGCCAGGAAATGCCCAGCACACCAATACCCATTAGCACACAGGGCACACAGATGAAGGGCATGGCCTGTGAGGTCACAGAAGACCCTGGGCAGGTGTCCAGCATGGCCAGAATGGAGACCTCTCAGCCAGTCCCTAAGGGGAATTTTCCATTTCTGCCTCTGGTGGAAGAGGGGGATGAGATGAAGCCACCTCCAGAGGCAGCACATAACGTTGTGGCAAGCGAGGGCGAGAGCAGTTCTACAGCCCTGGGGAAGCTGGGTGCCTCGCGACAACACATCCCCACTATCGCTCTACCTGAGGGTGACAGAGAAGACCAGTTGCCCCTGCGGCAGCCAGAAACCTGCTGGGAAGAGCAGGCGCAAGGTTTTAAGAGTCACCTTTTGTCTACACCCAGATCAGGGCCCCCGGGGAAAAGATTGGTCCCTGGTGAGATGACGACTTCTCCCAACCCCAGCTCCCTGGGGGAGAGAAGTGCCTACTCCCCTGCCACCAGCAGCATTTGGGATGATGCTTCCCAGGCCCCTGGAGAACAGGAGCTGCTGCCTGAGGAGCCTTCTCAAGCCAGTCTCTGGGCCAGCCCTGGTCCTACCAGGATCACCCGGAGAGAGGACCTGACCCATGCCCTCATGTGGGAGGCCGGCTCTGACCCTCAACTTGAGCCATTGGCAGAAGACCTCCGGACACTCTCTCCAAGAGGCTTGTCGCTGGATGTGGCCCCTGGCTTGGTAGCTGGAAAACCAGAGCATCCTGCTCAGCTGGAGAGGGCATCTGGCAAGCCACCTGCAGTCCCACCCAAGACAGAGAAGGCCCTGCGACGGGCAAAGAAACTGGCCAGCAAGAGGAGAAAGAATGACCTGGTGCAAGAGAAGCATGGCGAATCCTGGGAGGAAAAGCCCTGCCTGGAGGACTTGGAGCGGACAGAGCAAAGGCCACTGTCCCCCCGACAGAAGCCCCGACACAGTTTCCCTTTAGTCCGTTCCCTACCCCCTCCCATGCACCGCCACTCCGTGTCTGGCTTCCCAGAGCCTATCGGGAGGTGGCCTGGAGGGCCTCAGTCCCTTATGCCCCTGCCTCCTTACCCTGCCACCCAAAAGATTCTCCAGGATCCCCAGTCTGGAGAGTACTTTGTCTTCGACTTGCCACTCCAGGTGAAAATCAAGACCTTCTATGATCCCGAGACGGGCAAGTATGTCAAGGTCTCCATCCCATCCTCCAAGGGGGTCTCTCCTGAGCTGCCCCCGCCAGATACCCTGGCTGCTCCCTACATGCTGTACCCCGGCTTCCGGCCCATGCCTGTGACGGCCTTGATGCCGCTGCGCTGCTCCTCTCAACTCTCTGCCCCCACCTTCCTCAGGCAGGGCTCTCGCACCTCATCAACCCGTGCCAGGCCCCAGAGTGCCCACGAGGCTGGACTGCAGCCAGCCTCTGGGCCTCAGGGTGACTCCAACCAGCACTCTACGTGTCAGCACCCCCAAGGGCCTCCTCAGGACCCAGGAGAGGAGGGAACAGAAGTGACAGGCCTGGGCATCATCTCCACTGAAGACCTAGAGGACTTCGCCACTGAAGGCATTTCTTGAGGATTGTAGCAGACTGATCCCTCCCCTGTAAACCCAGAGAAGCTTATTTCCCCTCCTGTAGAACACACACGCACACACATACACACCAACACACACATTTAACCATTTGAGATCCCTGAATTTCAAAAGGAAGTGAGGATCCTGAGACAACCTCACCTGAAGGACTCCCCTGGGCTCCCCTCGGATGGAAGGGTGCTGCTTGCATGACCTGCTCCCCTCCATGCCCCTTCCCAGATCCCCTCCACTCCTTCCCTCTTCTCCTCACTTCCTCCCTGACCTGGCCATCCCTGTCCTTCTCTGGCCCTGCCAACAAGGTGGGAGTGACAAGGGTACTGCCTGGTCCTAAAGGCCACTTTGCACCTTCCCTCTGCTAGGCTCCTTGGTGAGCAGACCCCTGAGACCCCAGCTCAGACACAGCAGAGTTTCCAGGTCACCTCAGACAGAACTGGCTGAAGACTGACCCAGGGCAATTTTGTAGTAACATTTATTTGTGTAGAACGGGTTTCCTTCACAGGAGGAAACTTGCCTCTGAAGGCTTCTGTTCTGATAAAGAAAAGGCCACCTTTAAAAAGTGAAAGAAGTTTGCAGATGTGGGCTTGTCCCTGGACTCCTGTCTTCCTTCCACGGGCAGTGAGGGGTCAGGTCTGACCAGAGCTGTCTCCTCATCTACAACAGCCTGGTTTCCCATCTCATTGCTTCAACACCTGTCCCTGCCTTCACAGGGCAAGTTCCTCCGCCAGTGCCGGGAAACAAAGATGAGGAAGACTCAAGCCAATGTCAAGGGTGGCCTGGGGAAACTGAGTCAGGCCCTGACTGCTCCTATTTAATGACTGGTACCTGTAACCTGCACTCAAAGGGAAATTGTGTTTTCCCATTCCCCCGGTCCCTGGTTTTAGGGGATTTGGAGGGAAGCAACTGAATCAACTCATGGGTCTGAGAGCAGGTGCCCACCGTAGGAAGCCGGCTGGGAAGGAAACCACCTGGCCCTCTGGGCTTCCACCCAGCAGCTTCTACTGAGACCTCCTAATTCCTGTTCTTTGGGAAACACAGCAGGGGAAAAGTGCCCCTCTCCTTGTTTAGAAACCTCAGCAGCTGCCAGGACTGTGCTACCTAAGGCCCACAGGACCATGCAAAACACATCGTCCTTGTTCTGTTGGCAAAAGTGCCGTTTCCACACTGGGAGGATGGGGAGGCAAGCTGCTTATCAAATACAGGGGCTTTGAGCATATTTCAGGGCATGATTTGGATTCAGGGTTTTATACCTATTTCCTTTCCCAACAAGTGCAGCCACACCTGATTTTCATTGTGAACATACTACACAAGCCCCCTCCACAGCCCATGTCATTTAATTTGGCCATACCTGCCGAGTCAGTCAGATGACCAGTAAGGAACACAGGCAGAAATCTGGTTCCCCCAAGTCACTCAAAGGATGCAAGCAACAAGAACAAAGTTGTAATTTGACTCTGCCACTAATCACCCCAAACATTCTCTTCTCTTTGTTTTCATCTTGCTAAAATATGAAAAAAATAATGTCTCATTTTAAAATTCTCAGGGTCCCAGAAAAAGAATTGCCTAACAAAAGAAGAGTCCCTCAGTATAGTAATAACCACAGTAATAGTAACTATGTTCCTACAAGGAAAAATATTACTTTGGGGAACTTATTTTGGGGAAGCAGACATATTTTTTCAAGTAATATTGGCAAGGCTGTGGATAGAGCTACAAACATAAAGACTTGCTCCCAGCAAGTCAGCTAGAAGGAAGCTCTTACTGCTTAGAGCGAAGCTCCTATGTTCCCTGAAGCAGAGCGTGCCTCCAGGGGACAAGAGGTGACAGTCACTACCAAGGGAAACCCAACTCACTGCCAGTGATGTTGTCCTCTTTTATTCCCTAAGGGAGGTCATTTAGGCTTCCTTCCTTCCTTCCTCCCTCCTTCTCTTCCCTTCCTCTCTCTTCCTTCCTCCCTCCTGCCCTCTCACAAACATTTGCACTGTGCCAGGCACTTCCTTGGGTGCTAAAGATACCATGATACTAAGATATGGTCTCTGCGTTCAAGGAGTTGGAAGCTAACAGAGAAGAAAGACAAGTATATTCCCATGTGTAAAGAAATTTAATAGGTTGCTCTGAGGAGCACCTAACTCAGCCTGGAAGGAAAATGGGCTTCCTTCAGATGGCACCTCAGCCAAGTTAAGAAACACAAAGTACTTTATCACCTTAGGAAGAAAAACAAAAACAAAAACAGAATTTCCCAGCCTTTTTCTGTCTATCAAAGGTGACATTGATTGAATACTAAGAGAGTCCTCTTGCCATATCAAAGTGTATTTATTTAGCAAATTGTTGGTTAGCACTTCTAATCAGTGCAAAAGCCGAACCAGTGTAGCCATGCAAAATAGACCTTTAACATATGTCCTTCAGCTTCTGAGTTGGTATTCCACTTACATGGGTTGCCCAGAAAAACAACAATTTCTACCACTGTGTTTAATAGGATAGTGGTGAAAATTATGAAAACATGTTGTTTGTGGACATTATAGATGTTGCCTGCATCTTTTGTTTAGTGCACTGGCCCATTTCTGTGAGTTATGTCCCCTCTAAGTGTCTCCTGCAGGGGAGGGGGGCTCGCCTAGAGGGTGAACATAAATGTGGAGCACCTCTAGGGAATTCTTAAAGACCCTGGGGCAGTTCAGCTAAAAATGACTGAGAGCTCAAACCATGCACCAGCCCCTTAGGGGGAAGCTTTGAGCCTGGTCTCTGCCCTCATTACCTTCATTTTACTATGACAGAGACAAAGGCACTGGAACAGACTGTCACTGCCCATAGTCACACAGCCTCTAAGTGAGGGACCAAGTCTCACTTGGGTCTCTCTCACATCTAGATGAACTCTCTTAACCCCCAGCTGGTGCCTCTTAAATGCAGTCCATGAACCGTCAGCCTCCACATCACCAGGAGCTTGTTAGAAACTCAGAATTTCCATCTGCACCTTCCCAAGATTCCCAAGGTGATTGGTTCATTTGCATGTTGAATTCTGAGAAGTGCTATTGGCCTCTGCTTAGTCCGGATAGATTTCAAAGAAGGTGCATTGATGTCTTCATGTCTCTACAACATTGTCATGGGCAAAGGAAGAAAGACTAACAGATCTGGGTTGGAATGTTGCAGGGAAACGGGTTTACACAGGACATAAGAAAGGCATCTCTGATCACTAGCGCTGTCTTGATATCACATGAGTGGCTGGGGAGTGCTGAGATACCGGTCACTGGAGATGTGCAATGAAAGATGATGACCCTTTCCCAAGTCAGGGATGGACTTAGACATCAGAAAGCACCTGTCTTTTAAAACCCTGGCTACCTTTGAAGCTCCTGTATGCCAATGGCAATGATCCAAAGTCTAAACAGGGGGTGGCCATATGCATATAATGGGGGGAATATTTGCATATAAAAGAGAAGCTCTGTGACAAACTTGATTTTATGCTTGTGTAAAACATTTTGGCCCAGATAACACTGAAGTTGGATGCAACTGTCTATATGGGCCTTCTGCATCATTCATACATAAAGTCCAAGGTGAGCAGAGAGAACACTGGATCAGTCAACAGAATTTGTCACCACCTGTGTCCTACACACAGTCACCTGAGCAGAGGGCTCTTCCCTTCCACCAGATGTCTGGGTGATTCCCTCCCTCACCTGTCCACTCCCAGTGAGAATGCCCAAACCTGTCTGGGCTTTAGCATCACCTGGGCACTTGTTAACCCTACAGTTCCAGTCCCTATTTCTTATTCACCTCATCAGACTTTCCAAGTGTTGGGAAAGGATCACTGTAGATGTAAAAGCTCCCAGGAGTGATGCTCTCAGGTTCACAAGTGCCATTCCAGAGCAAAGTTTTGCACCTGGGTCCAATGTACAGGCCAGGTGCTGCCAGACCTAGAGTTCTGCCCAGCAAAGAGTCTTCTGTGAAAGGCTGAGGCAGAAGGATCTCTGGAGCCCAGCAGGTCAAGCCTGCGATGGCCGGGAGCAGCCACTGCACTCCAGTCTGGGCGACTGAATGAGACTCCAACTCAAAAAAAAAAAAAGGTTATGTGGACAGAGGGCATGTCTGGGCTTGCCTGGGGGCAGGGCAAACTCAAGGACACTACTGTCTCCAACTGGAAAACCATGGATGGGGAAAAGCACAGAAGACTTTAGAGCCTCCCAGTGCAGTCACCACCCCTACCCAGAGCCAGGCCCAGGATGTGGTGGTGACTTAGACACCTGGCCCCTGGCCTATATGCTTCCTGCTACCAACACCTTCCTCCCCCTCGGGGTCCAACCAATCCAGGTGTGCCCCAGAGCTCTGTAAGGCAGTTCCTCTTCCACAGAAGGTAGAAAGAGGGACATTGTTAGGAATAAAGACTTCCCTTTGTATGGAAGTTCAAGCTTTCCCTCTGAAAGTTCCCTAATTGAGTCTGCTAAAATAAACTGACAATAGACAAATTAACAGGAGAAAAGGCTCACAAATTTATTAACATGGAAGCCCAGAAGAGTCACACAAAGTATAAAACTCAAAAAAAGGCCAGATCCTTGAAACTTAAATCCTCTTCATACGGGAGAGGGAAGTGAGGGGCGTGGGCAATTTTAAAGGAAAAGTAAATGACTTTCTTTAGGAGAGATGAATGGGCCTAAAGAACAGATAATAGCCTGGGACAGAGCTCCACTTGGCTCGAATGTGATATCAACTCTAGTCTTTCCTGTGGGTTCATCTTCTCTGTTTGGTGAGATTACACGGAAGGGGCCCAAAACAATGACATTTCTACTAGAAGAACTTACCTTAGTGAGATAAGGGAATATCAGAGAAAGCCCTCCCTTCGGAGCAGAGGTAGAGAGACCTTGGTTCTGAGGCTGCTTCTTTAATTCCAATTACTCAGCATCATGTCAAAGCACCATACTTTGAGGCACCGTCTTCTTTTTTTTTTTTTTAATCAATATTTTTTATTATGATTTTGTTGGGTACAGTTAAGGGTTAGGTGTACAATTACG